ACCATAAAACTACAAGCTATGCATCAAACTCACTTAACAACTAATGAATTTCACGATTCCTAAATCCTTTTAACTAAGGCATCAAATCATAGTTTAATCACACACAAAAAAAAAAGCGAGGGAAAGAAGTGACCTGGGATAGTTTTCAATTAGTAGAATTCCGTCAATTACAGCAAATGAATTGAGCAATTGATGCACAAGCCCAGGGATTTCAACAAGAAACTTCAACGGAACAACCGACTTCGACCGGAAACTCGAATGGAGACGAACTTCAACTCAACTACATCTTCAACCAAACTCCATTTTCGGAACAAGAATCCGAAATTAAACTGAAGAAAATAGAGATCTACTTTTGATTTTTCTTTTCTGCATTTTCTGAAATTAAACTATGTCAAGAAATCTGAAAATTGAAAATGTTAACAGAAGGAGAATTTTCCTTTCTAAACCCTTGCTTCTTTCCTTCTCTTTTCTTCCCCGTCTTTTGTTTGTGCGTGTGTGTGTGCGCGTCACGGCTGAAGTAAGGTCGCTGGGTTTGGGTGTGCTGCTTTAGGGTGGAGGAGGTGAGGGGTCGCCGGTTTTGGAGGGGTGTTTGCCGCCGGGAGTGGGGTTCTCTTAGGGTGTTGCGGCTGTTGTTGTTCTGTAGAGTCTAGGGGTCTAGGTTAGGGTGTAGGTCTAGATCTCTTTTTATAATCTAAGTCTAGGATTTTAGGGGTATTGGGCTTGAGTTATTATGGGCTAGGTCCGAAAATTAGGCCTAAAAATGAGTTATTTGAGCCCAAATTTATTCTTTCTTAGTGAAAGAGACTAAAAATACGATCTTATTTACTAATTAATCTTACTTAAGTAAAATAACTATTAAAATAAGACTAACCGTTAAAACAAACCTTTTTTTTTTTGTATTTTCAAATATCATATTAAAATAAAAATAAGATACTATTTTTGTATATCTTTTTTTCAGCTTTATGAAAGGTACATAAAATAAAATATTTTTTTGTAATTTTTATTTTTGTGACGAAATAAAGTAAAAGAGTCAAAATTAGTTGAAATAACTATATTTGGCCGAAACTAAATATTTACATGCTAAAAAATATAAAATCTTGGGGAGGAATCACATGTCTACAATAATAAGTTCTAAAACCAATGACTAACGTAAACCACCCCAAGATTTGGTGTCACAAGTAGATGAGCTTCTAAATCCAACGAAATACAAGGTTCTGAAAGAAATACAACACTGTTCGACATAAAATGAAAACAGTATAATGAAAATCGGAAAGTGACTCTAAGACCTACAAACAGGATGCAACTCTACCTCAAATCATTGTTCGGTATCTGCTAATACCTCTCGGGACTCCGCTGGTACAAATGTCAAAATTTGCACAAGAAGTGCAGAAGTATAGTATGAGTACAACCTATCCAATGTACTCAGTAAGTGTCGAGCCTAATCCCGATGAGGTAGTGACAGGGCCAAAAAAAGACACCTACTAAAATCCTGTGCAGTTATATACATAAAGATATGGAATAACAAATAAAGCATGAAAAGTATCAACATGGTGGGGCATGTAGAAAGGGGCAACAAGCGGAGCTATAAGTAAAAATCACCAAGTAAACCTCCTCCAAAATAGACCAAATCTAGCCAATTATTGTTCAAACGATTCAAAACAAGCTTTAGAACTACCCACGAATGAAAAAGGTTCATTTTTTATCATATTTGAAAAAAACAAACCCCGGGCACGCTTGGTCGAAATTCGAGATTCGGACAAAATTCCGATTACCCATTCTCCTCCGAGCATGTTATGTGATTTATTTTGAAATCCGACCTTAATTTGATATCTAAATCTCAATTTTACAAAATCCCTAAATACTACCCAAAACCCCTAATTTCTACATTAAAATTCATAGATTTGACGTTAAAATTCATGGAAAAGTAATGAAAATTGATGGAAAATGAATTAAAGTTGCTTATCAATGAATTTGGGGAGAAAATGTTCTTCAAAATTTACCTCTAGAGAGCTTAGGAATTGCGAACTCTTGTTCGCAATTGCAGACGTCGCAATTGCGAACTTTTGTTCGCAATTGCGATGTCCACAAATTCGAACCACTAATCGCAAATGCGATCAGTGTTGCAGACCCACAGATGTCGCAAATGCGCAATTGCGAAAAAGCCCTCCATCGCAAATGGAACTGAGCTTCACATTTTCGAAGCTGCCTGCCCCATGCTCCATGCCGCAAATGTGATTCTTGGTTCGCAAATGCGATCACCGCCTGTCCACAAATACGACCATTTCTTCGCATTTGCGACATCTTCAAACCCATTCCCAAATTCACATTTGCGCTCCGGACATCACAAATGTGAGGCTCGCAATAGCGATCACGTCTTTGTAAATGTGAGACCTGCAACCTTAACACACTAGTTGTTGTATCAGCTGTCCAAAATATTCCATAACACATCTGAAACTCACCCGAGCCCGTCGAGCTCCAGTTCAAACGTCCAAACAAATGTAATAACATCATACAAACACGCTCGCTAACGCAAATCACAAAAATAACATCAAATATAAAGAATTGATTTCAAAACTCAAGATTTTCAACTTGAAACTCAACTTTGCTAATTTTTCACATAATGCGCGGAAATGCGCTCACGTCATTCGTGTCACGATCCAATTTTTGTTATAGGCTGTGATGACACCAAACGTCGCCGTTAGACAAGCCAACGACGAACTATCCATTTAATTATTTATTTTATTACTTTTAAAATCATGAATTTTATTTAATAAGAAAACTAATATAGAAGGCCATGATTGTATAAAGCACAAAAAATATAAGAGTGAAATGGTGATATTAATAGGCAAAAACCATAAACATCTACTAGAAATTCCAAAAAACAGTGTCACAAGGACACGAGCAATCTAGTAGGATAAAGAAACCACTATGACGACTGTCTGAAACGAAATAGACAAAGAATATAAAATGCAACAGATAGGAGACTTCGGGTGCTGCAGATCGGAGCATGGGGGAGCAGCTCACCACTAAGTCTCCTGATAATGTGGATGCGAGCCTGAGCGGTCACCATATGTACCTGCCTCAGTACCTGCACAATTTGTGCAGAGTGTAGCATGAGTACGTAAATCAACGCGTACCCAGTAAGTATCTAGTCTAACCTCGAAGAAGTAGTAACGAGTGGTCGACATCGACACTTACTAGTGGTTAATAAATAAAGTGCAAGAATTATAAATAGGCATGAAATACAACAATAACAATGGAATAAGAAACATCAAATAACGTGATCCTTTAACAAAGTGTCACTTTAAAATCCCCAAATATCACGTGCCATTTCAACAAATAAAACCATCAACTAAATACCAAACATCAAGTCATGAAGGAAATATCAGGTATATTCGGGCTCCTAGCGATATTACGCACAAGTAATGCCGAGGTCGTATGGCCCAATCCATAGTAGTCGGGTACATATACTACCAAGGCCGTACGACACAATCCATGGATGCATCCCAATATATATATATATATATATGCCGAGGCATTCGGTTCGATCTACAAGAATAGAGAAACTCTTTGGACTACAGGTCAAACAATTACAACACCAGGATAGGCGCACAAAAAAACATAATTTTCTATCAACAATCGAATATTCCACCAAAACTCAAAGTAACGAAGCTCGGTCTAACATAATCCTTAATCAAATTTCAATTATATATTCAAGAAATTAAACTAACAAGTTGGGTTCAAATAATAAAAGTATTTCATGATAAAGTCCTAAGTCTACCCGGCCATAAACATGATTTTAGCTACGTACGGACTCTCGTCACTTCATGCATACGTAGCACCCAAACTTATTACTCCCTCTGTTACTATTTATGTGAACCTATTTTCTTTTTGGTCCGTTCAAAAAATAATGATCCCTTTTTAAATTTGGTAACAATTTAGCTTAAACTTACAATTCCACCCTTAATGAGAAGCTTTTATAACCACACAAATACTCTGTGCCCCTTTCTGACTTGTTTAGGACCACAAATTCTAAAAGTCTTCATTTTTTCTTAAACTCCGTACCCAGTCAAGCAGGTTCACATAAAATGAAACGGAGGGAGTGACAAATAACAATTTAAGCACCTACTGGGATAATTCCCTCTTACAAGGTTAGGCAAGAGACTTACCTTATTTCTAAGTCCTCTTCTCGGTCCTCAAACCACACTAATATTCTCAAAATAACGATGAGCAACCCGAAACTAGTAAAAGTAGTACAAACTAATCAATATATGCTCAAAAGTTCATAATTTATCTATTAGAGCAATTACCCAGCCCAAATCGAAAAGTTCCTAAAAGTCACCCCAGGCCTGCGTGCCTGGATTCCATAAATTTTCGTAGAATAATGTTACCCATGACCTTACGAACTTGGATATATAATCTCTACTCAATTCCATAATCAATTTCGTGGTCTAATCCCATTTTTACCAAACCCTAGGTTTTTCAATATAATCCCATAATTTCAATAATTTCTATGTTAAAATCTACCCATAATTTATGTATTAAACTCACATTAGGTAGAAATCACTTACCTTCAATTTCTAGGTAAAAATCCCTCTCCAAGGTGCTCTAAAATCAGCCAAGAAATGAGGAAAACGGTCTAATAGCCGATTTTTAATAAGTGTTCTGCCCAATGGTCCTTCTTTGGGATCGTGAAAAGGCTCTTGCGATCGCGAAGGCAAAATCTGCCAAGGCCCAGAAAACATTCTTCGTGAACGCGACAAGAGCCTCGCGATCCCGAAGGCTAACCTAGCCTACCCTTCGCGAACACGAGCTCCTCTTCGTGAATGCGAGCTCCTCGTCGCGAACGCGAAGGCTACTAGCCTGCCATCCCCTCAGCCTTAACTCCTTCTTCGCAATCGCATCCCTCTCTCCGCGAATGCGAAGCCACATGTCCTAAACCTTCACGAACGTGACCCCACGATCGCGAACACAAAGAACAAAAACACCACTTCCCCAAATCATTCATCGTGAACCCGTGACACCCTCCGCGTTCGCGAAGAAGGAAACCAGTACCAGCAATTTCTGCATTTTGGACTTAACTCTGGGTGGTCCGAAACACGCCTAAGCCACCGAGACCCTGTCCAAATTCACCAATAAGTTCATAAACATAATTCGGACCTACTAAAAGCCTTGAAACACATAAAACAACATCGAAACTAAGAATCGCACCCTAAAACCAAATTATTCAACTTATGAACTTCAAACTTCTTCAACTAGCTCCAAACTCGACGAATCATACTTAGACAACTCGGAATGATGCCAAATATTACGCGCAAGTCACAAATCATGACACGAACCTATTCCATGGCTCGGAATCCTAAACGGACATCGATAACACCAGAGGCTACTTCAAACCAAATTAATAAACTCTAAAACCTTCAAGGCTCCAACTTTCAACATTAAGCGCCAAATGCTCCCGGATCACCCGAAACTCGATACGAACACACGCCCAAGTCCAAAATCATCATACAAACCTGTTGGAACATTCAAATCCTGGTTCCATGATTACTTTCTCAAAATGTTGACTCAAGTCAAACTTGGCCACCTTAGGCCACTATTAAGGAACTAAGTGTTCTGAATTCAACCTGAACCTTTTCAAAACAAAATCAATCATCCCCACAAGTCTTGAAACAGTAAAATCACATACGTGAAGTCTTAAATAGGGGAACTGGGATATAGAAAGCAAAATGACCGGTCGGGTCGCTGCATTCTTCACCTCTTAAACAAACTTTCATCCTTGAACGAGTCTAGAATCATACCTAGAGTGGTGAATAAGTGTGGATATCTGCTCCACATATCCTCACCGGTATCCCAAGTTGCCTCCTCGATTGGTTGACCCCTCCACCGGACCTTTACCGGTGAAATCTTCTTAAACCTTAACTGGCAGACCTGCCTGTCAATAATAGCAACTGGCTCCTCCTCATAACCCAAGATCTCATCTAGCTGAACTGTACTGTAATCTAGCACATGTGACCTATCGGCATGGAACTTCCGGAGCACAGACTCGTGCAAAATTGGATAAACTCCCGATAGACTGGGAGGCAAAGCAATCCTGTAAGTAACCTCTCCAATTCGCTCCAACACCTCAAATGGAGCGACGAACCTCGAACTCAACTTGCCCTTCTTACTGAACCTCATGTTACCCTTCATCGGCGAGACTTTCAAGAGAACCTTCTCGCTCACCATATATGATAAATCACGTGCTTTCTAATTCGTGCAACTCTTCTGCCTGGACTGAGCTGCGCGAAGTCGCTCATCAGGCTCAAACCAACCGATAGGAGAACGACATCGCCGACCATACAAAGCCTCAAATGGAGCCATCTCAATGCTGGACTGATACCTGTTGTTATAAGCAAACTCGGCCAAAGGTAAGAATCGATCCCACTGCCCTCCGAAGTCAATCACACATGCTCGGAGCATATCCTCTAGAATCTAGACCGCTCGCTCCTACTGCCCGTCAGTCTGCAGATGAAAGGCCGTGCTGAACTCTACCCGAGTACCCAACTCACTCTGTACTGCTCTCTAGAAATGTGAAGTGAACTGAGGACCTCTATGTGAAATGATGAAAATAGGCACGCCATGCAACCGGACAATCTCCTAATGTTGCGGCCAAACGTAGACGCAAGTATATGCGATTGTCAAGTACCAAAGTGAATAAAAGTCGGATGTCAAACCCACATGGACTTGTGATTAACTATTAACTAAATTAGACTATCCTAATTATCCAAACAAGAATTAAACCTAGAAATATTTGATTTTAAACTAATCAAAATAAAGGAAAATAAATAGTGAACTTTGAACAAAGAAAAAGTTTATTTTTATGTTATCAATGTGATGAAAATGATCTAGGGTTATGGGCTATCTAACAATCCTATTATTCTTTTCAATTGAGTTGACTAATTAATTTATCTGATTTATGGGTTGACGGAGTTAATATTGCTCATAAGAATCTATTGAATTCTTACTCTAAAGGAAAATAAATAGTGAACTTTGAACAAAGAAAAAGTAGATGTTATCAATGTGATAGGGTTATGGGTATCTATCAATCCTATTGTATTCTTCAATTGAATTGATTAATTAATTTATCTGGTTTGTGGGTTGACGGAGTTAATATTGCTCATAAGAATCTATCAATTTCTTACTCGCCTATCCAAGATAACCTAACGTCTATATGTCTATAGAGTTAGAATCAACAAGAATGCACTCGTAGTTCCGGTATAATAACCAAGCAAGGCAATTAAAATATGTCTATCCTAACCGTGAATCCATTCCCCGATGCTGGGTTCAAGAACTTGCTCTACTTAATCCTATGTGCAATATAGGATTGCCACTTTCGAGTTTTAACTCTAGATTCGTAGATGGTATTCAGTTGGTGATCAAGCAATCAAATAATTAGGCGCAGGATTGAATAAATAAATCAACAAATCAAAATCAATGTTCGAATAACAATATTCATGAAAGAACCACAACCCTAGAACGTGAAGTTTAGCTCCACATGGACATGGTAGCCAAACAACAAATCATACAAGGAAACATAAAAATTACTAAGTTTGGTGGAAGAAAGGATGAAACCCGGCCTCCACAACGGCTCTGTGCTCTCCCTTCATCAAAGTTATGTAAAAATTGTGTTTAAGGACTATTTATAAGTATAGGGAAAATACCTAGACGAAAATAACCAAATCCAAGATAAAAAAAGAAAAAAGACAAAATAGGCTCGCCATCGGACCCGTGCATCGCCACGCGGAACGCACGATTAACCTCGCGCTGGGCTGAGCGTCGCGAGGCTAAACGCAAGGCACGCCTCTCGCGTCGCCTGACTTCTGCCTAACGTTGCTGCTTCACAATTCATTCCTTAATATTTTAATTTTGCATCTTTCCTTTATGTCTCCAATTATTGGATAATAATGTTCTCAATCATTAGACACTTTATTCCATATTATTTTAACCCATCATGATAATTCCCACGAGCTGAATCTCTTGTGCATTTTTATTTGTACGTCTTGTCCAATATTTTCTTATTTTATTTTTAATTTCATCTCCAATATACATACATATAAAATAAATCAATTAAGCACAAATATAATACAATTTAGTATTAAAGCATCAAAATATAAGGTAAGTAATGCAATAAAAATATTTAATTATAGCCAAACATCACGACCCCACACTTAAACGTTGCTCGTCCTCAAGCAAAACACAACTATAATCGACGAAACAAAATTAAGCTCCTACCATTCAAAGCACACTACACCTATGACTGTGGTTGATAGCAACAATTAAGCCTTAGCATATGCAATCACATACACTTCCCTTTTACTTATGCCATACTTCAGAACATTCACAACAAACACAACATTCTCGTAACAATCTCAGCCTCAAAAACCGACTCAATGTCACACTGCACCCATGGCTTGAACACCAAGAACAAGAGAGTAAGTTGAATCCACACATTCGAATCTCATGATCAAATATAATCTAAGGACTCACATATATCGAAGAAAATCTCTCACTCTCACAAAGAAGTCACATGCATGCAATTGGTACCATAGTCTTGCCCATAATATAAATTTCTACTAATGTAGGCTCACTCAATCTAAAATCAAGTAGGACTTTTTATGGTTGTAATGAAGGCAAGCGACGGGTAGGATATATTTAAGAATAGTGGTTAACCCTCCTAAGCACTTTAGCACATCACCAAATAACACATCTTCAATCCGCTTCAATTCACAAACAAGATCACTTCCCAAAAAAATGACCTCTTTCTTTAAGCACTACTTTAATTTATACCCCACTAGTAAGAACAAGACTGTAATGACACGATCGATCGTTTTACTTTCTAGATTTCCGCTCCCCTAATTAAGACTCCCGGTATGTTCCTTTATTATTTTATGACTTGCAGGGATGGTTGGTTTGGGTTTGAAAGGTTTCGGGTTGAAATTGGAACACTTGGTTCCTTAATAGTGGCCTAAGATGGCCAAGTTTGACTTGAGTCAACATTTTTAGTAAACGACCTCGGAATCGGGATTTGATGCTTCCAATAGGTTCTTATGATAATTTTGGACTTGAGCATGTGTTGGGATCGGGTTTCGGGTGACCCAGGAGCGTTTCGGCGCTTAATGTTGAAAGTTGGTTCATTGAAGGTTTTCTAATTCTTTAAATTTGGTTTGGATTAGGATTTGGTGTTATCGAGGTCCATTTGGAATTCTGAGCCTAGAAATATTTCCATATGGTGATTTATGACTTGTACGCAAAATTTGGTGTAATTCCAAATAGTTTAAGTGTGATTCCGCGCATTCGGAGTAAGTTGAAAAGTTTAAAGTTCATAAGTTGATTCAATATGGTTTTGGGGTACGATTCTTAGTTTCGATGTGATTTTAAGTGTTCTGAGGATCGAAAATGTCCATATTATGTTTATAGACTTGTCGGTGCAGTTAGACAAGGTCCCGGGTGGCTCAGATGAGTTTCGGACCACCCGAATTTAAGTCCAAAATTTTCATATCTTCTGTTCTGGTTTCCTTCTTCGCGAACGATAAGAAACCTCGCGTTCGCGATAAAGGAATTGGGCTGGGGAGATTTCGTTCTATGCGTTCGCGAAAAGGAGCTCGCAATTGTGATGCTCTAAGCCATTCACTACAAGAAAAATGGCCATTAACTAAGAGAAATCTTGTCCCTAAAAATCAGTTTCTAGTCTCTAAAGGTCAATAGCGACCGGAGAAATCTAGTCGCGACCCGCCGTTATTGCCTTCGCCGCTAAAAATCAATAACTGCGAGGTTTCTTCACTGGTCTCTAAATATTTTAATGATCGACGATCTTCTGGTCATTAGAAACACATTCTAGAGACCATATTTCTGGTCCCTAAACACCTTAAGCACGAGGTAGCAGCTAGTCCCTAATGTCTACAGGGACAAAAAATCTGGTCCTAAAAGTGATTTATACAGCACAATAAATATATGATTAGTTTGGTCTATACAAAAATATTATAAAACTTATAATACAGAAAATCAATCGAATATCAACAAGATTCAATATATATATATATATATATATATATATATATATATATATATATATATACATACACACATTAATTATACTATAGTATTAACATCTCAATAGTATCACTGTACGACCATGGTATGAGTCAATATATTGCTTATAGAACCTCTTATGGAATAAAGAAACTAACATCCATAGTACAAATATATAAAATTTTGCTCTAAATCCTTCAAAAATAAGGCAATCTTTTGACAAACAGTCCTACCAAAATTATAATCATCTTGTTAAAATGGGGTATAACACGGGAAAGAAGGCATTGGTAGATTTATTAGAGATAAATCATAATCATAACTGGATTATTAACAAGAAAATTAACTTTACCACCAATATACTTTGCTGAATTAAGAGTTTTACATGCAGGACTTCACATAGCTATATAGCATAACCTTACTCCACTAACAATTGAAACAGACTATAAAGAAATCATCGATATTTTATAATATGGAAATGATTGCTACTTTAATTACGGTGTACGATTGTCGAACATATGTCTAAGAACAAAACAAAGAACAGAACATGTTTTAGGCATAGCCAAAAACCTAAAAGGTCTATAAGAACCGACCAAATCCCTAATTTTGAAGAGCACTTGCACCAACTTTGGGACCCTTTTCTTTTGGTGGTTTCAAACGACTTGAGCTATGGTTTTTCAGAGGCTCTTCTTTCTTTTTCAAGGCTATGATCTTCTTCTTCTTCTTTGCTCTCTGAATCGCCCTTTTATTCCTTCGGCTGTTGTGCCATTCTTCTTCTTCTTCTTCTCTTATTTTTATCAGTACATTGTGCATATCAATCTAGCCTTTTGAGCTATTTGATTGGTAAACCTTGAATACTAGAGTCATATGTTAGTCTTTTATGTTCTTAGAAACCAGGTATATTGACACTAAGCGGTCGGATCCGGTGTGTTTTAGACCCCTTATGTTGTATAGACTGAATCTCTGATGGTTAGCAAGCTGATTTTATTTTGTTTCCAACTATAGGCTGAATGTGGTTTTGAATGTTAATTGATTTGTTGGTTTACAGTTAGATCTTCCATCAATAGTTGATGTTCTTAAGTCTGATGTTAGCAATCTGTAGAAGCAGTTGGCGATCAAACAACTCCGAAAAATGTTCTATGACGTTGTATGACTAAGAC